AGAGAGCATAAAAGAGTCAAACCTCTTGTACCATTGCCTAGGAGATTGCTTCAAACCATAAAAAGATTTCTTTAACTTGCAAACAAGGTTTTCTTTTCCAAGAATAACAAAACCTTCAGGTTGGTTCATATAAATGTCTTCTTCCAACTCCCCATGTAAGAATGCAGTTTTAACATTTGTTGCTCAAGTTCATAATCATGCATGGCAACAATACTAAGCAAAGTGCGAATAGAACTATGCTTAACAACTGGGAAAAACATCATTAAAACCAGTACCTGAAATCTGGCTATAATCTTTAGCAACCAACCTTGCTTTCTACCTTGATGGCTCACTTGGAGAAATACCCTCCTTTCTTTTAAAAATCCATTTACAACGGATAGGCTTTTTATTCTTAGGCAACTTTACTAAATCCCAAGTACCATTCTTTTCGAGTGACTCCATCTCATCTTGCATAGTGGTCATCCAATTATTGCAATCAGCAGAAGTAATAGCCTCAGAATAATTAGAAGGTTCTGAATTACTGTCACACCCGATTTTAAAGATAAAATGGGATGCAAAATCTTATGTGCACCTAGAGATCAATCACACACATAAGCCGACAAATTATAAATAGTATCATCACAAGTGTTTATTACATCACGAATAATAAGACAGAGTCTTCACATAAATATAGCGGAAGTATAAAGAAAAGATCTCTCATGGAAGCTCCATATCACAGGGATGTCAATTGGTTGACCACAAGTCTAGTAATCCTCAGGAAAGTCATCATTACCATAGCCATCTGTTACCCATCCGGGATTTTTATCCAAATAATGAAAATATACAAGTGTAAGTACATGTCATACTCAACAAGTGTAACATGGGGTTCATGAGGCTCAAAAGGCTTGACACAGGTTTAACAGCGTTCAGCTTTTAATTGTCACCATTTTAACATAAGAGTAGCAACAAGCTGTCTCAATCCCAAAGTAAAACACATGATCAATGTAAACATGAATAATGAATACCAGTTTTACACTCTACAGAGGTTGTACACTTTCACTGTGAGTCGTGATACCCATATGCCCGGGTTTATAACTCCCAAAACACTTTTAAGGTGAGCAGGTAGGGTTCACTATGAAGCATTTCAAAGGTTCGTCTAACAAGTTAGGGCCACTAGGTTTCTGTGCCCTGCGAATGTAGGGCTCCCCTTCCAATAGGCACATTGACGCGCAACCTATACACTGACGGACAGAGGCCGCATATATCCAACCTGAAACACACCCCTCTTGCGCCATAAAGGTAACCGCTAACAAGCTAGAAAAGGTCCTCATACTGAGCTAAAACCAGAGCCATGTAGCCCTCATAGCTAAGTCTTGGATGATCACTTATAGATAAGTCCTTAGGGAGAGGAATCTGAAGCATTTAAAAAGTAGCTAAACATTCCAGCCCCCTGTTTCCAAGTTGCTAAAAAGTCATATTTTAATGTTTATTGCATATACCATTAGTCAAGTTACAAGATCATGGTTTAATTGAGCACTAGCAAAGCTACCCAATGCATAGCCCATAGGTGGGTATAAGTTCAATTCTAGAGAATCCCTATCAAGGTGACACATGCAACATGAATTAAATGTATTAAAGTTGATAGGAAATAAGGATAATCCCATGCTATACTTGCCTTGAACAAAATGCTCCTGCTGATCCTGCTCATCAAAGTAATACTCCTAGTCACCCACGAATTGCTCACCGTCTATACTCGATAATCACAGCAACATATAAGCATCCAGAAGCAATCATGCATAGCAAATGAAAGCTATAGATTAGAACAGTACACCAACAGCATAAAATCAAGATGAAAAGTTTGTAAATCAAATCTACGTCTCACTACAAACACACAGACGCGAAGATCACAAAAATCGGAGCTGAAACGAAGAAGTTATGAATTAAACAAGATTTCCTTTAGTAAAATAATAGATTAAATCTAACCTCGAATTTTAAAAGTTGAAAACATACTTAACAGTAGTATGAATATGTATATTATGTAATTATGAACCTAATGCAAGTTGAATGGATCAAATCAGAGTTAAAACAAATATTTTATTGCCTACAGACGATAGTGGCAGTCTTATAAATAGATGAAACTTAATTTTCAGATTTAAAATAATTAAAATTTGATTTTAAACCTAAATAAGGACTGTGGCCACAATTTGAAGAAAACATAGGGTCTCTTTAACAAAAGTTCAGGGATGGCGGGTTAAGATTCAATTATTTGTAAGGGCCTTTTTGTAAATTTCACAGCAAAGGGGTATCTTCTAATCTGGGCCCTTGATCTCAGATTGAACGGCTCAAAACAGATCTGGAAGAGATGTGAGACACCGGCAAGGTCGACGGCGAGCTCCACGGCGATGCCATGGCCGGAGACAGGCAACGCTCTAGGATTACCGTCTATAGACCAAGAAATAGCAAACCAAGAACACCAGAAGCTAGAGGAGAGCAAGGTGAACTCGTCTCGGTAGCTTACCAATGCGTGGAGCGGACGAGAGCAGCGCGGTGCTCGGCGAGGCGGCAGAGGTGGCGGCGATGCTAGGGTTAGCGAGGCTTGGCGCGATGCGAGGGCAGCTATGGCTCCGAAGCTCGAGATAGGCGCGGCACGATGCGGGCATCCTATTTTTATAGCCAGAAGTGGCATGGAGCACAAGACAAGGAGGGGGCGTGAGTGGCGCGGATTCCCGGCGGCACTGCTCACATGTAGGGCTGGGCCGTCAGCGAGAGGAGAGAGGGAACGACGCGGGCGCGACGCGGCGGGGAACTGGGCCGCAGCTAGGCCACGGGGGAGGGGAGAGCAGGTCGCGCGGAAAGCGAAGAGGAGCGGGGCGGCTGACCAATAGGCCGAGGAGAGTAGGCCGACCTGGCTTTGGTGGGCTGAAATCAAGGAAGGGAAAATGAAATCCTTTTCTATTTTCCAAACTAATTTCCGAACAACTTTTGAATGCAAATTCAAATCAATTTGAAATCTGATTTCAAACCATACAATACAAAAATAATATGCAGCAGCATGAATGCATAAACATGTAGGTAAACCTTATATTTGATTTTAATTTGATAAAATTTATTATTTTTCTATGCTACATGCGCACACTAATGCATAAATAAATTCAATTCACCTATTTCAAAATGTTGCAAATTTTAGGGTGTTACAATTACCTTCAATCTCTTCTGCAACACTCACAACATAAGCGACATTGCATTCTTCAATCAACCTTTTAACTGGTTTGGGCTGCCTTCTGGCCCTATCAACAGCAATAGAACGTTTTGGAGACTACACAACTGGAGAAGAATGCTCAACAACAGATGAATTATCAACAATTGGAGAAATTTCAGCAATTGGTGCATCTTGGACAGCAACATTATCAACATATGGTGCATCAATTAAGTGCTCCACCTGCACACTTATTTTCTTTCCCTCAACAGGAGCATCAACAGATAGGTTGTCATAAAACATAGTAGATTCATTAAAGATAACATTTCTACTAAGCACAACCTTCCAAGTCTGGGGTTTCCATAATTTATAACCTTTAACACTAGGTTGATAACCAAAAAATATGCATTTAACAGCTCTAGGCTCCAATTTACCATTATGAACATAAGCATAGGCAATACAGCCAAAAACTCTCAATTGTGAATAATCAGCTGGAGAACCAGACCATACCTCGATTGGAGTTTTCTTACCAAGAGTAATGTAGGGTGAACAATTAATAAGATAGCAAGCAGTGGAAGCAGCTTCAGCCCAAAAACGCCTATCCAAACCCAAATTAGACAACATGCAACGGGCCTTAGAGATGATAGTTCTGTTCCAACGCTCAGCTACACCACTCTGTTGAGGCGTATAAGGAATAGTGTAGTGCCTAACAATGCCTTGAGACTTGCAATATGCTTTAAATTCATTAGAACAGAATTCCATCCCATTGTCAGTGCGAAGCTTTTTAACCTTCTTCTCAGTTTGATTTTCAATCATAACCTTCCACTCTTTAAATGCTGAAAATGCTTCTGAGTTATCTTTCAAGAAATAAGGCCATACCTTACGAGAATAATCATCAATGATTGTCAACATATAACGAGAACCACCAATAGAAGGCTTGCGAGATGGTCCCCTTAAATCAGAATGCACATAATCAAGAATACCTTTAGTTTTATGAGTAGAGGTATTAAACGAAACCCTCTTGTGTTTGCCAAACACACAATGCTCACAAAACTTCAACTTACTGATGCTATGTTCATCAAGAAGCCCTCTCTTGCACAATTCATGCAATGCTTGTTCACTCATATGTCTAAGACGCATGTGCCAAAGAGTAGTAGCATCAGAATTAGATAATGAATTGGAAATTACAACAACATCACCTGTAATTGTAGTACCATGAAGACGGTACAAGTTTGGAGATTTCAATTCACCTTTCATTACAACAAGAGAACCTTTTGACACCTTTAAACTCCATCTCCACCGGAGTACTTGTACCCTTTACTATGAAGAGTACTCAGAGAAATAAGATTCTTGCTCATATATAGAATATGCCTCACGTCAGTCAAAGTTCTGACAATGCCATCATGCATTTTAATTTGAACGGATCCAATGCCAACAATATCACGTGGACTATCATCACCCAATCTAACAGAACCTCCACCTTGGAGATAATCATAGGTGACAAACCAATGTCTATTAATGCATATATGAAAAGAAGCGGTAGAATCAAGAATCCATTCATCACCACTATTTGCACATCCAAAGAAAAGCGACAAGCTTATCACCAAAGAGAATTATCTCGCCTTTTAGAAGCAACAGAATGAAGCATTACCTTCATCATTGGATTTATCTTTCTCTCTATATGTGCCGCTTCTTCTTTATTCTTTAACTTATTATAAAGTAATTATCTTTCTTGCAATACTTGCAGAATTTATCTCCCTTGCTTTGAGATTTTGATCGACCTATATAACCATTAGAACTTTTGTCTCTATTGCCATTGTTTGATTTATTTTCTGTCCTCCCTACGAACAGTATTAACACTTCTCCATTGGAGGGAACCTTCACAAGACACCATCTCTTTCATCTTTTCCTTGGCGTGCAAAGCCTCAGAAAATTCATCAAGCGTTAGAGTATCATGACTATATAACAATGTATCTCTGAAGTTTGCAAAAGAACTAGGCAAAGAGTACAAAAGAATGAGACCCAAATCCTCATCATCATAATCTACCTCCATAGCCTGTAGATCCGAAACGATCTCCTTGAAGACCATAAGATGGTTAAGCACAGAACCACCCTCTTGCAACTTGTGTGTATATAACTTCATCTTCAAATGCATCTTGCTTGTCAAATCCTTAGACATGCAAATTGACTCTAACTTGAGCCATAGCACAGCTGCAGTTTTCTCCTGCAAACAATCTTGCAAAATATTATTTGAAAGATGAAGTTGAATTTGAGTCAAGGCCTTACGATCTTTTCTCTTCTCCTCGTCGGTCCAAGATTTGGAATCCTTGTTACCAAATTTATCAAGAGCATCATCGACTTCAGCCTGCGTAAGAATAGCCCGCATCATGACTTGCCATAGAGCGAACCTTGTGTCGCGATCCAGTTGAGGAATATCATACTTCATTAATATGGTGAAGAAAATAACAGCAATAACGGGAAGAAAAATAATCTGCAGAAATTTAGGTGTAACCTTAGCAAAAAACCTGCAGCCTGGTACAATATCTGTGTACGTTCAGCAATAAACTGAAGAAAGAGATCTCCTTGTAGTCCACTTAGCAAAATTCCACCAAAAATCACAGCACCCAACGGCAATAGGACTGCTTGTCTCCTGCCTCAGTCCCCGTGCGCAGCAAATTCACCCAATCTTATTTTTCTCTCTCCGAAGATAGTCCACACGATGTGATGATCTCCTCCACCCGCGTGCGGAGCAACACGCCATGAACGGGACGGCAGCACCAGATTGAACTTATCATTTATGCTACAGTTTTTTTCTCTCACAATAAATTAGTCGTTCAAATCAGCACAAGCGACTTATAGACCAGCCAAACAGAGCCTGATTTTCTTCGGCTGCAAACGCCACAGACGGTGCCAGCTTTTTATACGGAGTAGATCAGATGAACAGGCCGACTCCAAAATGAACTCAGCCACGGCAAAATCGATTCTGACTCTGCACGGGCGGTTGCGCGATGAATTCGTCGAATAGCAGGGAAGCACGCCGGCTTGCAGATGGATCCGATGACGGCGGCGGCAGCGTGATGAACAACGAATAAAACCCTAATTTTTTCTCAATCTCGTGTCTGGCTCCGATACCACTTGTTAGCAAATAATGCAAATCAAGATCGAACAAGAGACATAGTGTGGGGGGTACGACCCCGGATACCCACGGCAGACTACATGGCCTACGCCGCCAGGGGTGGTCCAGCCCACAAGACGAAGGCTTACGGTGCACGGTATTGATCGGCGTGTACCATAAGACATCAAGGGCGATATCCTAAAGATGACATTCTAGATAACGTCATACGCCGTCGACCAGCCGTTTTGACCAAAGATAAGTACCCTTCCTACATACGTATTTAATATAATTTTCTCCTCGTGCTTCTCCAACTATTATTTCTTTGGTCATTCTTCATGTTTAATATCTTTAAGATACTCCACTTCATTTCTATATATACCATCTTAAAGATGACATGCAAACTACGCCTAAGGCAAATCTCCGAACAGTCATGTTGACGCTCGGATGTTTTTAGAGACAGCCATGTCTCCGGCTTCTTCCTACACGTGCACGAGCATCTACCCTCTGCATTATGAGTGGCCGACAGTGGCTCCTTGGCGACACTTTGTTCTTCCTACACGCACACGGGCTCTGCGCTCCGCGTTATGGTTAATAGGCTAGTTAGGATTGGAGACTCAGCTACATACTAACTAGTCGGACAGTTTATATTAAATATAAACACATCTTCAGAATAACACTAAGTGTTCACACCAACTGATCGCCTAGCTATATACGCTATTTCATCACCATTGCTAATTCTTCTCTGGAGTTCATATATTTTATTTTTACATCATGCACTACCCATTCTACACATTTGTTTCGCAGGGGCGTGGTTCGGTCAACGAGCTTACGCTCAGGGATTGGACAAGATGATCATCGTCCGGGTGGTCGGACTACCTATCGGACAGACTTCACCGCCAACCAACTGGTCGGACTGCTCGTCACTCACTCCTGCTCGGCATTCACTTCGCCGCCGACTAGTTGGTTCGACTGCTCATCGCATGGGCTTCATCGTCAGCTACGCTGAAGGCTCGTCAGCTACGCTGAGGACCCCTCGGTGTTCGGATTCTTCGTGCAAGCGTCGCCAGCTAAGCTAGGGACTCCCTTGGTGGTCGGATCTTGCTACGTCTCATCGGTGTGCTATCAAGTTGCTCCATGTTGTTCATATTAGGGTGCTGATCTTGGGCAGCACGTCCGGGGTCTTGTGAAGTACATGGCAGATGACGTTGGCAAGCTTTTATTATAAATTCTTTGACCCTGCTATGAGATAATCTTCAAAATCTTCTAGCAGGCTCGGGGACTAAGTGGGCACACTTCACCTTGCGGTGAATGTGCGCTTTTCATTTCAGGGCTCAGCCCGTGGACTAGTTGCCTATTCGGCTGGTCTTCTATCTTTCTTCTACTTTTTGGACCCTAGCACCACGTGACCACGTCACTTACTTTCAGGCTCGGGGACTAAGTGGGCACACTTCACCTTGTGGTGAGTGTTTTTTCTTTAATCTGTTCATTGGAAGACTCCATGCCCCCCGAAGTTGAAGAAGATTATCTCCCTTTCTCGTGGTCGGAATCTAAGTGGGCACACTTGGTTCACAGCGAGAAAATTTTTGATTTTGAACTTGAGCTCCTTACATCCTTCTGGCAAGCCTTATTTGGGTAATCCCGGGCTCGGCCGGACAGTTAAGCTGGTCGGTTACGGTCCACAACTACTCGGCGACTCATTAGGGTGGTCGGACTATGAGTCTGACTGCTCGGTTTTATTTACACCTGCTCTGATAAGCTCAAGACAGCGTTGCACAGTGGATACAAGGCGCTCGAGGACTAGCTGTGGGGGTATGACCCCGGATACCCACGATAGACTACATGGGCTGCGCCGCCAGGGGTGGTCCAGCCCACAAGACGAAGGCTTACGGTACACGGTACTGCTCGGCGTGTACCGTAAGACATTAAGGGCGATATCCTGAAGATGCTATGAGATCTGTTAGGATATGCTCGATCCCGAGATTCCTGTAACCTGTTATTACTTACCGGTTATCTCCTAGATCTAACCGACTTGTAACCCTACCTCCGGCTATATAAGGCGGGTAGGGGACCCCCTCAAAACAGACGCAATATTATACGATAGCCAATACAAATCAACAGACCACAAGAGTAGGGTATTACGTCGTGCAGACGGCCCGAACCTGTCTAACTCTTGTGTCTCTGTTGCCTTCTTGTTCTTGATTACGCACACCTCTTCCGATCAATCTACCTTCGTGGGATACACCTCAGAGGACTACCGACGATATTCTGTCGACACATAGATTTTTACGTGGAAAACCCTTGCGGGAAAAAAACATGGGCGCCAACCGGCGATCTTCGCTATATGAGGAGAGTTTACAAAACGCAGGGAATACAATGAGTGATCAACTCTTCCTATGCGGCTTACAAGATGTATTTATAGGACGGACTGACTGCAGTCAAATACGGAAACAAATCCGCTAAATATATAACCCGAACCACGGGCCCTCCAGGCGTCCCCGCTAGACTCGCGTGAAAATTCGGATCATATTCCAACATTGGTGCTGGATTATTCCCATGCCTTGTATTCTTCCTGTTCGGGGGATCTATAGGGCCTATAGTGTTTCAGCAAGGAGCTATGCCGAGGCTGGAAATCCTTAACTTTGAGTTCTATGTACAGGCGGCTAGACAAATCACCCGCAATGGTGATGGTCCTGAGTTGGGCCTGGGGAACCTGTCATCACTCCAGGATGTCAAAATTTATTTGCGTTCTAGAGGCGCTAGCAAGGAAGAGGTAAAGGAATTGGAGGCTGCGCTGAGGCATGCAGTTGAAATCCATCCCAATCTTCCCAAGCATCAGATATGCGGATGAAAAATCCAGGTCTGCTATATCTCTGGCTGTTTGTTATTTCTTGCTTCTCTTCCATTCCCCTTTCATCTGACCTTAATTTCGTCGTCTTCTTAATTTCAGATGAATGCGGACTGGACTAGAATACAGATGTCTATATTTGCCGATCGCCAAATATGACCAAAATCTTGTTTTTCAAAAAAAGAAAAAAACATCTGAAATTCATGCAAACTGGTCAACTTTTTATATGTCTGCAAGAAAAGATGAAGATATGCTGGGTACAACTTTTGCATCTTGCTTCTCTGCTTTCGTTGAACTCTCTCCTATGTTTCTGCAATCATCAACATTGACTGGAGAATAGATATTTGGTTATATCCAATCATCACCATTGCCGGATGACTCCGAACTGACCATATGGGTATGAGTAGATGAATCCTGCTTAGCGTCAAGGTCGATGGACCTTTTCGGCTCCATGGATGGCCTTTTGTTTTTTTCTGTTAACTTTTACTGTTAAGCTTTAGTTCATGGAGTTGGTAAGCATTTGTATAATGATTTGGACTTATGCCTCTTCTTTGAAATGGCCTGAAGTCAGATTTTATCCGTTATCAAAAAAATGAGTGCATGAATTATGTGTACAAAATCATTCTACCTTTTCATTTTCTCAGTGCAGATGTTATTTACTGATGTGCCCATGTAAATTTTCTCCAGAACAACGGGTCAAGAAAACTGTGCGGCTTTGTGATTTTGACTCTGGGTTAGGGTCTACCTTTAATTTTCAGAATATAGCCTTCAAAACATTGGTGAAATCTCACACGTGTCACCTGCGGCTGGTACACTATTACAAAATCAATAATCACCGTCGGTTGCCAACCTGACATCACTGCCGGTTTTGCCAACAGGCAGTAGGCAATCCGTATCAATAGTCTCACTTATCACTAGCGGTCGAGTAACCGGCCGTGTTATCCTTTCCAAGAAAAAAAAAAGAAAAGAAAGCATCGGCCACCAGCTACGCCGCCATCATGCTGCCCACATCTGCCGCCAAGCCCGGTGTCCGTGGTGTGTTGGACTAAATAAAATTTTGGGTCCGTGCACCATGTATTTTAACCTGTAGTCTCTACTTTTCTACGCGGCCGTTGAGTCTTGCATGTTCTCCTAAATACTACATCTCAAAGCCACTTTATTGAATTTTAAAATAAATATTTGGAACCCTAAGCAAAATCAAATAAAAAGGTCTGCAAATGGGCCTGTAGCCTAGTAGTTATAAGAGTATCACTAGCACATCAGGTCCTGGGTTCGACTCCCCGTAGGAGCGAATATTCCAGGGGGCGCCTGTGGTGACTTCGTCAATCTCGAGGATTTGTCGGCTCAATCTGCTCATAGGGGTAGGGTCGTTAATCTGAGGATTTGCCGGTCCAGTATTCGAAAAAGCTCATAGGGGTAGAGTTTG